ATAGTTTAGTTTAACAGAGATTAGTTTAACATAGTTTAACAGAGATTTTAAGAAAAAATGTCCACGTAGTTATGGCAAACCTTTCAAAATTCAGCGATAATAAAACACAAACAAAAGGCACAGAATACCCGTACGTTCTAAAGTCACATTCAATACAACGGATATGTCGTTTTATTCAATCCATTCTGATTTAGTAACTTTTTGAGTAAAACATAAACGTTAACTGTATGCTCCTCGCATCATCGACCACACTGTTAACAGTATCAATACAATAACAGCTCTACGTGGTGTTCAGTGTGTACAAACAGTGTTTTTAACAAATCCTCTTATGAACAATGAAAAGTACTACATGTATGACTAAGTGTGAAACAAATACTACAGAGCTGCTATTAAAAGTAAGAGTTTTACCTGCAGTTGTTGCAAGTAGCAGCCATCTTGAAATGCTCAAGTCTCATAGGGTCGTGTCGCTTCGACTGTCCAACTCTGAATTCTGACTTTACTTAGTTCCAGTTTAAATTTCCAACTATCAGACATCTCCCCCTCTCCCAAAGTCCCACTGCTGCGAGTTTGCAAGCTCTTGGTGCACACCAACGAACCTTGTGGTTTCTGTCATGTGATTAAATCACATGGGCGGATGAGAGGAGGCTTCTGAGTGGAGGAATAAGGAAGCAGGAAGTTGATTTGCTAAACCGTGTCCTGGTGTTTTCTGGCCCTCAGCTCTGTGATGGTGGTGTCGGGGGACAGAGGTGCCTGATCAGTCTCCCACCTTCAGGAAGCGTAACGAGAGCTCAACCCAGGTGAGTGTGCTGGCCTTTATGTTGTGTGAGTTTTTATCTGTAATATCTGAAAAGTCAAAAACAAATATCCCCTATATGAGATGATCTAATATTTAGAGCTCAGTCGCAGAATGAAGACGGTGAATTGGAAACAACTCCCGTCTGTTTGTCTGTTGGTCCGTCTGTGTTGTGAACATAATAACTTGAAAAATGAGTGAGGTCATGACTTCCATTTTGGTGTGTGACTGTATCTAGTTGTAAAAATGGTCACTTTCAAAAACTGCTTTGCCACGTCTAAATCCAAGATGGCTGCCACCTCAATCATCTGAAGAAACTTTGCTTTCTAGTTTTTATATAGTTTAAAAGTATCGTTTCCTCAAACGATTAGGGAGGCCAAAGATGAATCTACGGTGGCCAAGGCCCCCATTGGCCACCCCCTTGCTCCGTCTTTCAGGCTGGTGGTGGATTAAATGTTCCCTCCATTCACCAGTATCCGCCACTCTGCACTGCCTCAGACAAGAAAAACACAAAACAACCTCTGTCTTTCTCCACAGAGTAACTTCTACCAACTTGAAAGTCTTTTGCAAGAAAAACATTAAGGTTTACTTGATTCTCTGTTCAGTTTCTGTCCAGAGAAACAATCATCTCAAAAATAACATCCATCCATCATCTTTACCCGCTTCTTTCTTTTTGGGTCACAGGGGTCACTGGTGCTCATGTCCAGCCATCACTGTGTGTGTGTGTGGGGGGGGTGTCCAGGTCTCCAGTCCATCACAGGGACACATAGAACCAAACGAGACAAACAACCATTCACTCTCTCTCTCACACCTAGAGACAATTTAGAGTTACCAATCAGTCTAACGTGCATGTTTTTGGTCTGTGGGAGGAAACTGGAGTACCCGGAGAAAACCCACGCATGCACGGAGAGAACATGCAAACTCCAGCCAGAAAGGCCCCCGGCCAGGGTTTGAACAGGAGCCACCTGCTCGTGGCAGCTCTACCAACTGCGCCACCGTGCTGCCCTCCAGTGACGGGGACATCAGTGTTTAACACTGTGTGAGGAAATGGCACGTCCAACAGAGCCCACCTTTATTTAGACAGGTTAGTCCCATTGAGCCTCGGGGCCTCATTTACAAGAGACACCTGACTTTAACAGAGTGATGACAACAGTGGACCATCATAAAAGAAAGCAAATAAATTTAGAACAAAAAACAGCTAGATTATGAGGCGGTGTATAAAATTAAAAACAGGAACATGTCTGCGTTGGTTTTTGTCAGGAACTTAACAGATGTTTGATGTCACAGAGAGGTCAAAGGTCGAGAGCTTCAGATGTTTTTACAAGATATTCCAGGAAACAGGAGCGGAGTAGGAGAAGGTCCTTTTG